GCCAAGGAGCTCGTCCAGGAGCCCGGCCCGTACATCCTCGGTATCACTGCCGAGTGCAGATCTCTCTTCACTGCCCCAACCGATGCCTTGGTCGTTGATCTGGACCGTAACTTTGTCCTTACCTCGAGCCCGCCGACCGCGCTCAATGCGGGCCAACGCAATAAGTTTGTGACCCGCCTGACGCAGTCTCTGAATGGCGATGTCACACCGTCCGGCGTTCCCCAACACCTGCGGTCTGCCTATGGTGGAGGAAAGCTGGTCCCGGCTGGCCAGATCATTGTGATGCGCGGAGAGGTTGAATCGATCCAAGACCCCGAGTGGTGGAACCAGGATCCTGTTATGTCCGTAATGGACCACGTTTGCGAGAAGATGGTAAGCTTCATACCAAAACAACAAAGAATTTTGTGGATTCCGATTGCTAACATATTTCTTCGAATTCAGGGCCGAAACACGGGCTTGAAGGCTGTCTTCGGCGGGTCAGTCAAGAAACCCTTGATGACCAAGGTATCAATGAGGCACTTGAATGAGATTGTCCGTGAGCGAAACCAGTATTCGCGAGATGCTTTGGAGGCCTGGCAAGATTTCATCAATCTTAAGGGGCGGATGGAGACCGAACTCAACAAAGTCACCAAACGAAACAACTATCTGGTTGAGGAGCTTGAGAGCTGGAAGCAGCAGGTAAGCATACCACGAAAATGTCGTCTTTTTGGTTCCGACATCACTAACATGCTTTACAGTTCCTCAAATTCCAGGCCTTTGCCGAGACGCTCACCAAGGAGACGCAAGATCTCAAGGTCAAGATTGAGAACCACAAGCGCGAGAACCGTCGTCTGGGTGGTCTTCTCGATCAACAGAAGGATGACAATGCACGGTTGTCTGTCCGCCTTGCTGGCACCGAGAAGCAGCGCGACGATGCTCTGGAAGCTCTGGTCCTGCAGCAAGAAATTGCAGAGGAGCTGGAGCGTGAGCGCAAGAGAAACAGGAAGGAGCTCACTGCTCTGCAGCACACCAACGTCACCATTCTCCGACAGCGTGATGAAGCTCGTCGTGTTGTGTTGCACCTACGAAGCCTGATTGCAGGCCAGCATCACCATATGGAGCATCTCGTTAAGACCCTGACGTCTCCCGATGAGCTGGCTGCGGAGATTGAGGCTGGCTTTGTTGCCGCCGAGGGAGTGCCCGAAGAAGGAGGTATGTGGCAGAAATCCCACAGCGTTGCATGTGTGATCGATATTAACGGTTGTATTTTAGAACCTCGCGACGAGACGGAGACCCGCTTCATCAAGAATCTCGCCCGCGCCAGCAGACGCGTTTCTACGCAGACTTTCGTCGATGTTGCAGACCGTCACCTCAAGGACAAGACAGATGCCATTGCGCACATCATCCGCAACATTGCGGAGCAGTGCCAGGCCGCCGTCGAGGGCCTGCAGCTGGCTCAAGATGCCGAGCTAGGCACGGCTGAGACTTCGTTGCGGTCTCTGTCCAAAGGTCGCCGGGGGAGTAATCTCTCCGTTACTCCCAGCGATGACGGCCAGTCCGTCGCGACGTCCGAAGCCGGCGACGACAGCCTCCTCCGACCCAGCAGCGGCCGGGCCTCTAGCATCCCACCCACACCGGATCTCATTCCCAACCGTAGCAGCACTAGCATGTCTATCGCTAGCACGGCCACGACCCCTGAGCGCACCTCCCAACAGTATGTCATTGGTCACGACATCCCCACAAAGATCGTCGAGGACGACGAGGACGACCTCTCCGGCGACCGCAGTGAGGGGGAGAGCAACCCCATCCCCCAGGAGCCGGGTATTGTCGGTAAGCACGCTGAGAGCCTGATCCACCGCCCTTCGGGTGCTCGGATTAGCGCTCTGGGCAGCTCTCGCTAAGCGTGCTTTGCTGCGTGGTTGTCAGGCTCCAGACGCGGGCTTCTCGTCTTCTTGTGCATCATATGTTCTGTCTATACCAATTTTGCGGTGGGGGGTTTAAAGGGTCTGGGTCATTCAAAAAACGAAATCGTTTTCCGGCGTTGAGAGATTGCTATTGCCTTTGCACCAAACATTCCCTTAGTTGCTTTTATTTTTCCACGCTCACGTCGTCATCTCGCGTCGTTTGGACCTTGGGCAGGGCTAATTTTTATTATCGCTTATTCTTTTATTTTACCTTATATTGCAGATGAGCTAGAGCGCTGCTTTTCTTTTTTCTTATCTTGGAGTGGCTCGTTCGTGCCTTGCTTCGGGACAGAATTTGGGCTGTTGATGGATCGTGAGTAGAGCAGCAATAAACGCTTTTGCAATTTGATTGTCTTGATTTTGCGACTGGCGAGACTTGTTTGTAATGCTTGGTGTGGTCTCTACATCCTTTTAAGACGCTAGATATCCTGCAAATATCCGTCCTACCATCCAATCCCTGAATGTTCGTTGGCATTGTACCTGGCAGAATAAATGTTATAACATAGTAAATAAAACGGCCAGGAAATGCATTGGATTATATACACAGCTTACGACGTACTTGGTAGATAGTTGGAAACCTCAGGCAGCTAGCTTTTCGGCCAGATGGGTTTGAACATGTGAAATCTTGCCCCCCTCAAAGTTGGTCATCGGACCTCAAGACTATTTTAAATGCCTCCGTATACAGTGTGCGTATATGTGTGCGCACGCGCTCTGGCTGGTGTGCGCGCCGACGACGCACACTGCCGCAATGTAATGGTTAACCAAGCAAGTAAACACGTCTACAAGTAAACAGCCTCCTTCTTGACGCCTTGCTATGGCAGTGACCCCATATCGAGCATATGACCCATCTTTTCTATCTATCATTCGTCGCGTGTTAGCGCCATCACTCCACGTAGCACGCTTCGAACTGTGGGGGGAAGGGATGAAAAAGAATTACCTTTGTTTTCAGATAATTTTCTACCTCTGGCGCTCTGAACCCTCCTTGCCCCTTCCACGACAGCGGCACCATGGCGACACGCTCCGTAACTACTACTTCGCGATTCGGGCCTTCCACCGCGCGGATCTTGTCCGGGTTGTTTGTCAGAAGCCGGACCTCCTTTTGGCCGAGGTCAAGCAGCATGGATGTTGCCAGACCGTAGCTCCGAGCGTCTGCCGGATGCCGCAGCAACAGGTTCGCCTCGACCGTATCAGATCCGAGATCTTGCAGGTTGTACGCTTTGAGCTTCTCCCCGAGCCCGATCCCGCGCCCCTCCTGCCGCAGATATATGATAATGCCGCCGGCGTCGTTGCTGGGGAGGGACATCAACCTGGCCGCTTCGTCTAACTGTTCGCCGCAGTCACAGCGCGCCGACCATACCGTCTCCCCCGTATAGCACTCGCTATGTATTCTCACTAGGGGCGGCGTCTTCTCTTTCTTCTCTTCAGTCTCCATTCCCGCACTCGCAACGTTGCTGGCAGGTGCCGAAGCTCCCAAGTTGCTTGCTATCCTGCCTGGGTACAGTCGCCCGGTATATGCGCCTCTCACTAGCCGGTCCAACTCGGTCTCCCCTTCCCTAACGGCGTCAAGCGACTTGCTGCGTATGGTTCGGCCAAATACAATCGCAAGATGCTCCTTTTTGTCGACGTCGTTTGTGTAAAGATGTAAAAACATCTCGGCGCCCGTGGTCGTGGGGATCCGCGCGCGCACGACACACTCGACATGGGGTAGCGTCTCGAGAAGCTGCGGGTGCTTGCTACCACAGCCGCCGGTGGGTATCGAGCTGTCGACGGGGACGCCACGGGGCTCTGACAGCAGACGGGCAACACCTGTGCTGGGTGTTGCGGCTCCCGGTGTGGACGGAGGGGTGAAGGCGGGAGATAGGAGCGACGGCGGCGCCTGCACCAGTGTAGATGGCGTAGCAGAGGATATTGAGGGACTCGCAGACGGTGCGATATGGTCGGGCTCATCGTCGACTCCCAAGGGCGCGGGATCCTCGGTCGAGAGGGCCAGGCCAGCCGCTGGATTGACATCTTCGTCATTTTCTGCTGTTTGGCGCGCGGCGGTTTGTGGAGAGTAGAACGAGGGCAATGGACCCGTGTCGCCCGGCCCTTGTGTTGGACTGAGGTCTGGCATTTTGTGATTTCGCGCGCAATCGATGGCCTTAAGGGCGGACTTTGGGGATGCTAGGTGGCAGCAACGAACGATTGCACCTTTCGGGCCGAGCGAGTTCGAGCAATGATGAAATGGATGGCGGGGTTTGTTAGTGCGGCAATTGCGGGTGGCAGGGGTTGAGCGGGCAGACACACTGGATGTAGCCCAGGGCAAAGTTCCAACAGCGGAAGCGTACCGGCAGTACCGTAAAAGTGACGCCGCCGATCAGAACACTGAGGTAGGCAGTGACGAGGTGAAGTGTCGACACGTTGGGAAAATCAGCCATGACGCTGCCGATGCTGGTCAAGACGGCGGCGAGGCCCACGACTGAATGCAGCGCAGCGACAGTCTGGGGGAGATCTGTAGGCGTGATGCGTTTGCCAATAACAAAACCCAGAATGCCTCCAATGGCAGCCAGGCCGCCAAACTGCGTCAACACTTCCGACGAGAACCCAACGGCAACGAGCGAGGCAAGAACACCGGAGCCTGCACCTAGCATGCCCAGCATATTTGCCATGCGGGCCGTCGACTGGGAAGCCAGCCCCGACAGCGATGTAATGCACAGAACCGAGCTGACAAGGTAGCCGGCTTGCACAAGTCCAGCGGCACCCGTCGAGGCCGCAGCAACGAATCCGCCACCGAATAGGAGTCCCGGAATAGCATACCTAAAACCACGGATATTCGGGAGGGTCAGTTTTGCGGCGGACGCAAAACAATTATCATCAGTTTCCAAACACCTTCGGCATGCAGCTAGGTTTGAAGACTGAACCAAATCCGTAAAACTCACCGTCGTAATCAGCGGTTGAGTTAACCCAGGTCAGGACAACTGATAATTAAAAACACAAAATGCTCAGAACTCAAAACGAGCGAGAGAAGTGAGGGTTACGAAATACAATAGACAAAAAAAAAAAAAAAAAAAAAAGAACTGGATACACCGCGGATCGAACGCGGGACCGTCTGTAACGATTGTCCTTCACTGGTCTCATCAAGGAGGCCGAGTCAATGCAAAACAGAAATCATACCACTAGACCATGTACCCAGTGACAAGCTGTTGAAGTCAAACTGCTTGTCTGGTAGAGCTGATGGAGAGGCAGGCAGCTTAACGGGTATAAGAAGCCCACTGTCTGGAGGAGCGGCGAGTCAGTTTCGGCTCTCTGAGGTTTCTTCAGCTGGGTTGTCCAATGGGGTGTTATGCATGTCGGAACGAGCCCCACGCTGACGAGTGGAATTAGGTTGGCAAGAGACGGAAAAGAAGATTACTTTATCGCGAGAGAAATGTTTGTTAAAAATGCAATAGACATGATTGAAGACTTTTGAAGAGGTTCACTCTAATTCATTATTTTTTCCCTGTGCACGCTATATGTGAAAGAAATCAGGGCAACGGATGTTCACGCTGAGACTACGGACCTTGCCTGCACATGGATGGAAGAGAGAGACGCCCCAAAAGGGGGTAGAAAGGTGCAAAAAGAACAAGACCTTCCACCAACCTCTGACGCACTATTAACTCGAACCAATCGAGGGAGAGACACGCAGTATGAAATGTAACCCTCCAACAAATAAAAAAGTTTACCGTGCCCGCCCGCCCGCCCACCTATCCGTTCCCCAGCGGGCCCGTAAATGCAACCTCCACCAGCGCCCCACAACAACCCACCACCGCAAAACAAGGACAACAAAAAGACAAAAAACATACAACACCAGGTATTCGCTGGTCGTCACCGACCCAACTACTAGTCTGGCCCTCGCTGGCTTATCTATGGGAGAGCGGACGGGATCCCGAGTTCTCCAGTGGGTGTGGTCGTATGTGACACGTAACCCTCTCAGAGGGGACTATATACCCATGGAGACCGACCGTACGAATACAGCGGAGGCCACTGAACATTATTGGTACTGGTGAATGCAGCGTCCCCGGGCGCACGCATCTATCTTCCAGCCTGTCACGTTTATTACCGGCAACTTGGTATTAATGTCGGATAGCAATAGCACGTGGAAGTGGAAGCGGAAGAAGGCCTGCCCTCCAGAGGTCACTCTCTTGGTCATCATCGTCTCCCACGCGGCGCGGTCATGTCGTTGCATCGTCAGTGTCCTATCTAGGATCCATGAGACTGCCGAACACCAGTCGCTTGGCCAAAATCGAAGTTGGTTGCCATTCCTGCCTGGTATGTACAGGTCGGCTTGAAGGGCCGGATATAGTATGAGAAGGGTCCATCTTGCAGCAGCTTGGTCCGTGTTCCGGCGCCTCGAAGCGGAAAGTCGAGAGACGCAGCAAGCAGCCCAAACACACTATCCTTTTATTATTTGTGTTCCTGACATCGTCTCACGAATACGGGCTCCCTGCTCACATAATTATGATACCATTCGGGATGTGCTACAGAGGGAACCCCCCCTCCCCCGGGAAACTGCACCAGTACTCCGTAGTTGTCGTAGATCCGAACACAATACGAGAGAGGAGATTGAATGGCTTCACTCGTAAACTTGTCCTTCACCAACTCAAGCCCTTCGAGCTTCATATAGGGTCATAACATAAATTAGGAAACATGTTTGCCTTCTTTTAAACTCTCGGAGCCACTTCCACAGATAGGAGACATGTGATCTGCCATTACGTCCTTGTTTATGTCCTGAGTTCTAGCGGTTATATACCCACTAGCCATAGGCTCATACCGAAACACCCGAGCAAGTCATCTTTCAGATAACGTAAACATGCTATACACATGGAACAACCACAGGGGAAAAAACAGATCCAGTGACATAACAATGTTCTGTGACTTAGGGCAGGGCAAGAGCAGGTCAACTTCTCACATCAAGCACAATTAAGAACCAGCCTTTTATTGCAATTGTCATCTCGATTCTCGCTGTTGGTCCTTCGATGCCCTGTTCGCATCTATCCAGTAGTTTGCCTACCTCCAACGCGTGCCCCAACAAGTGCAAATATGCGCCAGTTCCCTCAAAGTTCAGTTGCCTGCTAATCGATTTTCACGATATCGCCATTGCCGCTGCCAGTTTGCTGTCATATCGTTGCATCATCCCGCCGCCGAACTCCCGCCCAGACACCAAGGCCAGGAGCCTTTACCGCCGCCGCCGAAAATAAAGAAATTTCGCATCCAGAGGTATTGAGTATTCATACAGTGCACCAAATTCCAGTCGAACCGGTGAGTCGTCAAGAAGGAAAAGATTTGTCGATAGAGGCAACCCTTACTGGGAGGGTGCCTGTGCATCGTGCTGGCGGTACCCAGCATTACCGCCTCGACCGCGGTAGCCACGTCCCCGTCCACCGCGGCCGCGGCCTCGCCCGCCGCGGAATCCACGGAATCCGCCATCGACACTGCCTTGGCCGAAGGTCTCCATGTTTCGGCGCTGCTCCTCGCCACGCCATTCTCGACCGCCGGGCTTCGGGCCGGTGTTCTCAAGCCTGTCCTTGGCCTCGCTGGAAATGTTGTCAAAGAACGACCTTGACGGGTTGTAGGCGGGCGCAACAGAGCCGCTGGCATCGACGACCGCCTCGGGAGTCAAGGCATCTCCATTGGCCGTCTCCGTGAGGGGCGAACCCGCAATCGCCTCCTTCACGATTTCTTGCTTGTTGAACTTGGCATTGGCAGAGGCAAAATCGAAGTCCGAGTCGGGGACTTCAACCTTGGCCGGGCGAGGACCTCGGCCGCGACCGCCACGACCCACATGTGCCGGAGCTTGCCGTCCAGAATTGAGTCTCATCTCGTTGACCTTCTTGGTGAGGTTATCCATGGCGGGAGTATTATTTAGCTGCTGGGCGGGAGCCGACCCATCTAGCTGAGCTAGGTTCGCCATCGCGACTGCTACCGCAGCTTTGGCGGCCTGGGTTGCGTCTCGCAATGCCTCCGCATTATTAATCTGCTCGCCAGCCGGCTTGGAGGAGGATGTCTGTGCTTGTTGCGATGCTCTGGAGGTCAAGCCAACAGGCAAAGGGACGGCGGGTAAGATCTGTGTGGGGCGAGAGATGTTTTTAGGTCCCGTGGGAATGAACTTTGAGGCCTCTCTCGGGGCAGTAGGCGGAGCATTTCTGCTAAGCGATACAGCCGTAGCCTTCACCTCCTCTTCAGTCGGCTTGGACTCAACCGGCGGGGGTGGCGCCGCTGCGGCAGCGAGTTCCTGCGCTGGCTGCTCTGTAGACTCCAACTCGGACGGCGAGTCGGCTTGTTGTGTCGGTGTGAGTGGCTTCTTCTCCGTCAAGGGGCCAATAGGGGAGGGCTTCGGCGCAAGAGACGGAGTTGAAGGTGTTTGGCTGGAAGATTGACGACCACCCTGACCGGGCGCGCCTGGAGCGCCGGGGCCGCCAGGAATGCCTGGGGGACCGCCAGGGCCCGGGGGGTACGCATAATTATTCCACGGCGCAGGTCCTACTGGCCCAGGAGGGAAGTGCTGGCCTGGCATCATCCAGGGCGGTTGTGGAGGATACTGCATGCCGCCAAATGGGTTCGGCCCCGGGCCCGGACCACCGGCTCTGCCCCAACCTTGCATATGAGGCGGAGGATAGTAACCAAATCCCGAACCACCGGGTATCGGTCCATGCTGATTAGGGCCACCGAGAGGAGGACCAGGCGGTCCTTGTGGCGGTCCCTGTGGCAGTCCCTGCGGAGCTTCTTGAGGAGCCGGGGGGCCGGGAGGGCCGGGCGCCACATTAACCGGTCGAGCTCGAGCCTAGGTAGCTATTAGCAGCTACTCAACACCGTCAAGGTATCTCGTCAAGGTGTGAAGAAGGCCACATGATCAGAAGGAAGGCAACGGAGAATATCAACATGGGATTTGTTTGCGCAATTTAGACATAAATGTTTAACATCCGAAAGTATTGCATCATGATGTGGCCGTTCTTTGTGATTGACTCGAGGGAGGAATAGTAACTTACGCCGACGATTGCTGGGTCATTGGGCATGGCAGGCGGCTCCTCCTTCGCGGAACTCGGGCCCTCTTCGACCCTCAGGTCTTTGACGTCGGTGCCGCGGAATACAATGTACTCGTAAAACTGGTCGGACGGAGCCACCTCGTCGTCAGGGTTGATCCTCCGACCCTCGGTGCCGAACGACCGAACATTCTCAAGCGACACGGTTGAGTCCTCTGAATTGATCTGGTGGAGTGTCCCGACATATCTGAGCAGCGACTGCGGTTAGCATCAACGAGGGCACGTGGCGTTAAGGTGCGGGGCAACATACCGAATGTCGCTCCTCGATATGAGGGATATCCGAGATCTGCGCGCCAGCTGGAGTTAGCAATTGAGGGCAAGAGTATAGGCGAGAGCGGCTGTCCCCGTGCCGCGGTGGACTAACCCGAGGAATTTCGACATTGTGGGGATGGCGCTGATAGCTCGAGACAGCACCAACGACAGAAGTGCGGTACGGCGAGCACGCAGCGGAGGAATGCACGGTGCAAGAATTAAAATTAGGGAGAAAGAGCAGCAGGCGACCTCTCCGTAAACGATATTGAGAATGCGCCGATATGCGATCCGCAGCGGGCGCAGCGCTGTGTCGCGAGTCGATGGAAAGGTGAGAAACAACAGAAAGCAGGAGGACGTGAGAAAAGTTCAACAGATGCAACCTATGGAAAATTGGCGACCTCAGCCTCCCTCTTTCGGTTCGGCGCCGAGTATTGCCTAGCGCCACTCCGCTCTGTGCGGTGTAGGTCTGTGCACTAACCCTCTTTGCAGCGTTGCCCCGCCCCTAACCCTAGATCTAGATCTCAGATTGGGGTGGGTGTCCACCGATAACAATTTGCAACCAAATGCCAAAGAATCTTTGCTGCCAATTTCGATGTGGCCGTCTCCTGTGGTTCCACGTCGCATCCAAAACACGCGGGATCAAGTTCAAATGCACAAGGTTTGTGGCTTTGCCTAACGTATTGGCGTCAAGATGGCTACGTGCAAACGACCTCTCCCAGATTCGTTTCTCTAACTTTTTTCTCTGCATATTGTGAAAAGGGGCGAGAAGACGAAAACGTAAAATGATGCGTGAGGAAAGGTAGGAGAGTAGCCGCCATAATACGAACACTATAATACACGAATCTTATTCTGCTCCCACA